GGTGTATTTGGGGGTAAGGTATGATATGATTACCTTGCAATTTATAATTCTCTGGAGAGCAACACTATCCATCCTCGTTAGTTTACATGTGCGGAATATCGGATAGGTAATCCAAACCAAAGCGCCGTTCGTTTAATCTCTTCAACGCAAAAGTATGAAATACGAGGCGGTTACTTGAGCCCACTTGTTGGCGAAGGGGAGGTCGGGGTGGACTCACCTTACCCAACCCCTCTGTAGTATGGTCTTCAATCTGCATGCAATCACGCAAATATATTTATGTAATTACATTGTCAGAAACGTTCCCTATAGGAGCTTGTTTTTTGTTGATATGATACTCTTATGACTCTTATGCACGACAGTTACGCTTTGCTGTCCTCAACATTCGGGCGTTCCTCCGGAACGTGCCCACCTGCTGTTGTGCAAAGCGCCCCCCGCCCCGTTCTTACGCGGCCGGGCTGAGGCCCTCGAGCCAAAGCCTCGACCCCGCTGCTGCTGCCGCCGCGTCGCGTCGCGTGGCATGTAGATAAAGTTTATCCGGAGCGGGGCGGAGCGGTTAACGGTTAATGCCGCAGTTTATGCCTTCTGTCGTAAATATTTGACTTGTGCGACTTGCGCACCGCAGTCGTCGTCGTCGTGCCGCCCGCGCCCCCCAAGGACTCCGGCAGGGTGCTGTATGGATTTACGGACGGCCAACTTGTGTTTAGTGCCCTAATGACCTTGCACAACATGGGGTTGCCAAGGCGCTAGTATGGCGGCCAGGCGGGGGTCACTCTCGCTCCAGAAAAGCACGCCAATAATAAGAAAGTCTCCCTCCACCCACGCTCAACTATAAACGCGAACCCAACCCGTGCACAACCCTCGTTGCTACCTTCATATGAACGTCATTTAAAAATCAACCTTTTCCTAATTAAAGTTGAAATATCGTTTTAAAAATCCCTCAAAAGTGTACATATCTGTTGCAGGTGAAAAGCCGCTGCCGCACTGCTTTGTCCCCCGTTCCGGACCGCGTGGCCGTTTTGCGACGTTCGTTACACGCGGGGCGCAAATTGCGCGAAGTGCGCGGCGCTTTTGCGCACTCGCAGTGCAATTGCCGCGCGAACACGCTGTGCTATGGCGACGTGCCATTCCAACTTGTACACGGCTTGCTCGGCCTGATCGCGCGGCTCTCTGGCGCGCGCCGTGCGCCGCCGCCGCCGCCGCCGCCGCCCCTTAGTGGGCAGAGAACTTTAGCAGGGATTGTCGCGCGGCTCAGTTAGTTATGGAGCTCGCCGCCGCGCAAAGACCCTGCAGTGCAGCGCCGTAATCTGTTTAGAGGGCGCGGGCCTCGCTGGGCTGCCGTGCGGCTCCTAGGAAGTCGCAGCAAGTTTTTAACAGTGCAGTGTGTGCATTATTTGACTTCACATCGCAGTGATTTTAGTTTTCCAGAATACTATTTACCGAAAAAAAATATGGTTAAACACTTTTTGTATGCTGATATTTATTGTTAAGGTATAAACCAATCAAATTTTTGCTGTTTTTTTCATTGTTTAGGGGGGGGAGGGGGGCTGGAATTTTTCATGAAAATTTGCGAGGTTTGAATCCCCAATCCTCGCCACTCTTCGCCACTCTTCGCTGCAAGGCACGTGCTATGCAGGCAGGGATAATATTTCGCATGCCTTTTGCTTGCCGGGCCGTGGGCGGCATGGCAGCATACCGCGCCACCCCGCGAACTACTACTGCCCCCTATCTGTGCGTGGGCGTGCCTGCGAATAACTGCCATCGCCCTCTAACCGCGTCCACGAGCCCACCCCCAAGCTACCCTTGTGTGAGTGCGCGCGCGCGTGGCACGCTCCGCCGGAGACTGTCAGCTGTCTGCTGCGCGCCAGATTTCAAACGCGCGCGCGCTCGCGTGGCCATGCGGTGGCGGAGTGCGAGCCGTGCAGCAGCAGAGAAGCTATGCTGCTCCCGCGCACGCACATCACCGCAGGCCAGAGGGCGCATTGAGTGAGTGGCCTTTTTGTGCGGGTCTGAAAAGGGAGCGCAGCAGGCAGAGCAAGAGATTGTTTTGGCGTACGGTGCTTCATTTCGGCTCTAGATGAATTTTTGAGCAGCCCGCCCTCTCGCTCCTGCTGCGCCGCTGCGCGCCCGCCTCGGCCGCTGCGGCCGCGCGTTTGCCGCCCGGCGCTCGCCTGGGGTTGGCCCACCCTCACTTTTTCGTTTTTACCTCATATTTTACCTTCTTTCTTCTTTTACCTCAGTGACCCGCGCTCGTCGTCTCGTGTCTATACTTTCGCCGTTTCGTCTTTCATCTCTGCCTCTCACGGTTTGCATGCATGATAGGCCTACTCACATGTACGTCACATGTGCGGTCCTACCTTTCCTTCCAGAGGCAAAAGACTGCAAGATAATCTGCCAGTGACGTTGCGGCCCCAAATTGGGTGCATCCGTTTTAACTCCTTTACCCCTAAAAACCTTATTCGCCATGACCTTTCCTTGCAACGCGTTTCTGGCACTGCAATAGAACTCTCTCCGCTCTCTCCCTCACCATTTTCTATCTCTCTCTCACTCACTTTGTCTTCTCTCTCTCTCTCTCTCCCTCTCTCTCTCTCTCTCTCTCTCTCTCTCTCTCCTCGTGGCAGCAAGAGAGGGTTGGAGACTCGGCAGGGGCGCCTAATTAACGCATTCAAGATGCGGAACACACAGAGTTAAGATTAGAACCGGTGTCTCGCTTGTTGCCGAGAGGAAGAGAAAGACGTGGAAGGGGCCGCCGGTAGGGGAGAGAGAGAGAAAGACAGAGAGAGAGAGAGAGAGAGAGAGAGAGAGAGAGGAGCGTGGTGGTGCTCTGTGCGATTGTTATACTGCGCGCTGCCGTTTCCGATTAGATGAGCCCTCTCTCCCAACACCCCTGCGCGTGGCCCGGAAAGGTGGGAAGGAGGATATCCCCGTCCGCAGCAGACGACGCCGCCGCCAGGGCAGGGAAGGGAGGGTCTCCGTGCGCAGCATCGTCTCGTTTGGCACGCTCCTCGATTGGCACTGCGCTGCGATCTTCTTTTCTCTCTCTGTTTTTTTTTTTGCTATTTTTTTCCCTCGCCCTTGGGAGTGTGTTTTTGGGCCGCTGAACACATAAAGAGCACCGCGCGTTAGTTTGCTTTGTTCCTTCGCGCATGAGTCGAATAACGAGGACGATGGGCCGTCTGAGTCACGCGACGCTGATGTGGGGCTGATGTGGGTCCTCCTCGGCGTGGTCCACGGTGGGGTCCTCGGTGGGCCCCCCGAGTGCGGCGCGCCCGGCCCGCCCGGCCCGCCCGTCCGTTCGCATCCGGTAACATACGACTGCCATTTGCGGCGCACTACGTCTTAGTGCGTTAGAACGTTATCCCCCTCCAAGTACTAAGTGCCACCGAGTCCGTCTCTTTCCGGGCCGGACGCCCGGCCGCGCCCAGGGGGAACGTCAGAGCTGTGCAGTCGTCAGTCGTCCCGCCACGACTAGCACACTCTCTCCTGGTCATTAGCCGAGTTGCGGTGCCCAAAGTAGGTGCCATTCTGTTCGGCTTTGTGTCTCCTCATGCTGATCGATATTCCTTGTTTCAGTTGTAGTTCCCGCGCCGCTTCAAACGACTATTTCCTCCTCTAAATTTGTGCGTTAGTGTTACACAGGTGTGAAATGAATTGGGGAGGTGCCTTTGAATATTCTGTTGGGGCCAGAGCTGCTGCAGTGAAAAAAAAAAAAAAAAAA